CCGGGAGAGCAAGCTCTGTAGTTTTGTGTGTAGATCCACAGGTGTTCGCGGTGCCCCTTCTTGTAATGCGGAGTCGGCGACGAAGCGAAGAATCGGAAGATGGCTTAATTCATCGAGTCGGAGAAGGGTTTCAGTAAATTGGGCAATCGCCACGTTCGTTGTTGCTGTAGCGATAACCAATTCTCCGGGTACGGAGAGGCGTGCGGCTATGAACGCTCCAATAACAGTTTTGCCCGTTCCGTACGCGGCCTGAATGGCGAAGATTGGATGTGTGCCTGTACTCATCTCTACTGCTCTAGCCTGGTCCGGGAGGAGTTGAAGGCGACGAGAATCGAGTATGATGCTGATATTCGTAGGAGGTGGCGGTGGAGAGGGTTGTGGTCTCGAGGTCTGCCGCCGTAGACGGTAGGAGTCCAAAATGACATTCGCTAGAAACGGCGATGCGGGATCAATGCCGAAAAATAGGTTGGAGGCTGCTAGAAGTTCAAAAGCTGGGTCCGTTCCTGATGGGGATCGGGAGAGGCGGACACACACGCGTACCCGCGCGGTGTGATCGTCAAATACCCGCCCGTGTTCGATAATTGGGCCCGTATCGGCTGCTGGGAGCGGGTGTCCGCGCTGAGTTCAACGGCGAGGGTCCTGGAGTCGAAGTCTATTGCACGGAAGTGATGGTGGCTCGAGTCATTGCGGTTGAGTGTACTACCCATACGTCGACATTACGCGAGCGGTTCCAGCCGTTGTCTGGGGCCATGGACGGGAGCTCAATTTGCAGCCGAAGCGGTAAACCGTCGAGGTTGGGAATGAAGGCCACTATTTCGTGCCTGCACTTGTCATCCGTGAGGAAGGCCTGTGAGGCGAGTGTGGCGCTTGCGGCAAACGCGGCAAGTCGCTCGTCGACCCAATTACGGTCTTCCTGGGGCAACAGGGACACCCTGAGAGGCATGATGGCTTCGTTGGGGTGAGCCGGAATTTCTGCCGTGAGTATGCGTTGAGCCTGAACAGAGATGACCGTATGTGAGAAGCGCATCGCGCAAGAGACGTTTGTTCGTGCGCTGGCTAAGAGCAGGTCTTCTCGTTCGACTCGAGTGAGCGGGAACGAACACACCGATTGCGTGGCTCGGAGAGCCTCTGGGGAGCCTTCGAATGCTGCGTATATATGGTTTACAGCTTGCCCTCTATTACCTCTACGTGCGACTGCGAGAACCATGCCGAGGATGTTACGGTGCGCTGGAGCTGGAGTAGCGAAGATGAGCTCATTTAACCGGAGGAAGAATGGCTGGTTTAGGTTCAGTGCCGATGGGCGTGATGCCCGTGCCTGCCAGAGTGGATGTTCACGATCCTCGGTGTCCAATGCTGCCAGTGTAGGGCGTAGAGAAATTACCCATACAAAATCTTTGACGGAAACTTGAGTTCGATCGAATCCTCGTGTCCGCAAGAGGTAATTGATAGAGTCTTGTGTCAAAGGGATACAGTGAAGTTCCCGGTGGTCGGGACCTGGCACAAAAAAATCCTTGGCTTCGATGATGATGCCCGTACCGTAGTAGCGGTTGACGATCTGGTGTAGTACGGGGCGCACTCCGCTCGGTAGCCGTGGAGGCAGAAGGCGTATCGGTCCTAATCGGAAGTGGATGGTAATTGAGCGAAGGTGGGCGAGTCGTCCTGATACTGATTGTCGAGTAAGTCGGCGATGAGATTCGCGGCGTGCTGTCGGAAGGTGATAACGTCTTGCATTTGAGTGAGTTCCAGTATGGGGAGCGGATTAGTGGGAGATGGTGTGCCGACGAAGCGTCGTGGGGTCAGAGAACGCACGAAAGAGCCGCCGAAGTAATCGTTGTGTGGTAAACGTGCATAGGTGAGACACCTGTTACCATCTCTTCTGTCAGCTCCGGCCAGTCTTGTCGGGGAGCGATGTAGTTGCCTCAAGGGTGCTGAAGTGTGAATTCGTTGTCGTATCCTTGAGGAGTTTCCTCAAAGCGTGGAGACTGCGCAGGATCGGGCTGTATGCCCTGTAATACGGACGAACGAGAGAGTGGTGCTGGTGCTGGTGCTGGTGCCGCAGCTGGTGCTGGTGCTGGTCCCGCGGCTGGTGCTGGTGCGGGCGCTCTGACTTTCTTCGGAGGGAGGACGTCGATGGTGTGGACGTCGAAGATGTTTGCCGCCCTGATGAGGCAGTTCGGTAGGTGGAGAAAGTAGTTGACCTCGATGTAGATGGAAGGTCCGATGACTGCAGCGGCGAAGGAGGAGACGATTCCTGACGTCCTGACGTTGGCGCACTGAGAGACAGCTGTTCGAGGGAGGCCGAAGGAGATGCCCGGAGGAATGATGAATTAGACAAAGAGGCGGCTGGAGGCGACGGGTCGTGGTTGGAGTCGACGACGCAAACTATATACTTATTGCCGTTCCAGGATAGAGCCAAAGGTATAATGTGCCGATGGCGGGACCGGGAGGTTCTTATATAATCCGATCCCAACCCTTGAGAATATTCTCGCGAATGCGTTGCGCGATCGTGAGAACTTCCGTGTAGAGATAGTGATATTAGCAAAGGAAAATTCCCAATATTATGTTTGAGAGAAAGCTATGCACTTGCTATGCGAAGCATGTTGATACAGATGTTCCCCCCGATAAGCGTGAGAAAGGCTCGCGGTCGGGGAGTGGCATGTACCGTATGCCGATGTTGTGACCGCGCGCTATCAGCCTAGCGCGGAGCCTACCTCGGCAGGGTCACAGTAATACAAAACTCTTTACCGACAATTAAAGTCTTCGCGTACCTATAGTAACGGTTGCTCATATCACCATTGCTTGGAGCTATTACGGGGTTCCCATATCTTATAAGTGCGCACCAGGTTCTCGGATGAAACAAACAAATATCAACAAAATACCGCGGAAGAAAGCTTTCTTACTTGTTCTACACTGGGAGCTTATGACCGGCGCCTTCGAAATATTCTCCCATGACATTTAAACGAATAAAAGGAATCGATTGATAAAATGGCGGTAAGTGAATTCATAATTAACGCCTTCGAAATATTCTCCCATGACATTTAAACGAATAAAAGGAATCGATTGATAAAATGGCGGTGAGCGAATTCATAATTAAGCATAAAAGTGCTTCTCACAGGCAGAGTGACCGGTATCTGCCTGACTAAACGTATGTTCCCCAAAATAAGAGTGCTCCAACAAAGATCGGGAAGTTGGCCATGTGGCCGAGAGAAAAGAGGACATGAGGGAAAGAAGAAGAAGTGTAAGGAAGAAGGAAGCAAAAACACTAAAGGAAGAATCACGTGCGGTGACTACTGTCATGTAAAACGGAACAAGGAAAAGAGCAAAGGAACAGCAGGTGTGATGTACGTCTCACACTTCAACCAAGATAACGGAAAGTGAAAGAAAACTAGTTCCTTCAAAGAATGCTTGATCTCATGGGAGCACCATAGTTCTATCAAACGAACATTTGGAAATACCGAAATACGAAGACGGTTGAATGAAGAAGAG